TCCATCGTGGACGTGGACTGTGGCGGGGAAAGCCGGAGCAGACGGCTGGGGTGGGGGAGAGGGAAGCATTCCTGAGTGGTCCCCTCTCCGCTGTCGCCAGTGAGCCTCCTCAGACTCCTCTCCCGCGCCCCCAGCCTGGGATTGCTGTGGCGGCGAACTCTGGCACTGGGGCTCAGCTTCTGCGCGCCTGGGGCGCACCCGCTCAGGGACACCGAGCGTAGGGCGCCCGCGCCCGGCCCTCGCCGCTAGGCGCCGCTGTGCGCACACCGATCGCGGCCAGGCCAGCGGCCTCTGGGGAGCACACCAGAAAGGGATTTGCCATATATACATTTTTTTTTTTTTAAAGAAATGACTCTAAGGCATTAATTCTACTTTTCACCGAGGGGCCGGAGGGACTGCGAATTACAATGGGATGTAGGAATTCTTGGCCAGCCTGTGGGCTTCCGCATCTCTGGACACCTTCGGACGCCTCCAGGCCAGGGAAAGGGCTCACGGTTCTGCGCGGCCGCAGCGCGGGGAGGGTTCCTCGTTCCCCTCTCCAGAAAGGCGCAACCCGCGGCGACCCGGCCGTGGCGGAGGGCTGCGGGCTGGCTGGACCACACAGGGCCAACGGCCTAACCTGAAATGTGCTCACCGCTCACAGCGCGCCAAGCCCGATCTCTCAACAATCATTACCACGCTAGTTCCTTTCCACAGGTGAGACAACTTAAGGCGCACTCCTAGCCTGCGCTGCGGGAAGCTGCGCCCCCACCGCAGATCCCGCAGATCCCGCGCAGGCCTAGCGGGAAACCAGCCAGGGAGAGGCGCCGCCTTGCTGGAAAGGCGAGCGCACACGCTTATCAGAGATCCTTGGCGATCTTTCCCTGGGGGGCACCTCCGAGGAGGAGCCGGACATCCAGGCCTCTCTCACCCCAACACCTCCCTAGGGAAGTTCCTGGCCTTTGGGGGCCGGGGTTGGGGGCACACAGGAGCGAGCTGGCAAGCTGCCGTGAGACCAGCAGAAGCTCAGGGTTTCCGCAGCTTTATGGAGGCCGGGTCAGCAGCAAGTCGTGGGGTGAACAGGAAATAACACAGCAGCCGCTGTGGAGGGTCACCACGCACCAGACGCTGTCTGCACACCTTGCTTATGTCATGGAACAGTCCCGAGGGCTAAGGTGCGGACATTTGTGTCTGTTTCAGAGGAGAGAAGACACTGGCACAGCGAGGTTAGGTAACTTGCCCAAGGTCACACGGGCAGCCTGTGAAGGGAAGCCTGCTTTGGGGTGGCGGTATAATCACATACAAGTCATCCTGCGTGGCGTGCACTGTTCTGAGTTTTGAACGGCTCACAGTTGTTTAAGTGCCACCGCAAGGAGGGCGTAGAACAGTTCTATCACCAGCAGAACCATCCCCCCTCCCCCCCAAAAAGCCTGGGGCCCCACTGCTACCACCCCTGCCTCCCGGGCAGCACTGGCTGTGCTTTTACATAGGACAAAGAGGTCAGGAGTGGTGGCCGCCTGGCCCAAGGTCGTCCAGTAAGTCCAGACCTGGGGTTGGAACCTCCGTAGGTGTCTGCTCATCCAGCGCCCGCACAGTGCCTACTAGGCACCAAAGGCGCAGCGGCGCGGGGCGCCTGCGGGCCGCGGGAGGGAGCAAGCTCTTGGCTCTGGGCTGGGGCCTCAGACATCATCCACCTCCCACTGCACACAGAGGGTTTTAACCCAAAACCCACTCGTTGGGCGACCAAGGAACAAAGCGAGGCTGCATCTAGGAGGCCCCAAGCGGCCGAGGAGCTCAGAGTGCAGAGCCGAGCGAGCGCCCGGCCCCCCGCGCTCCTCCGCCCGCCCGCGTGGTTAATGAGTGACTTCCCTGGTTAATTCCCTCGCACGTCGGGGCTGGGCGACGAGAACCTTCTCGGTCTGCTCTGGTCTGGACGCATGCATTAGCATATATTACCCAGTTTCCAATACTTCCGCACCGCCCCCGATTCACCGGAAGCCCGCTTTCCCCCCCAACCGGGGCTGGCGGCTGCAGCGCTGCTTGGGGCGCGGGGGTGGTGGAGCCGGAAGCTTGGGGCGAAGGAACCGGCCCTACCATGCCCTCCTCAGCGGGGTGAGCGCCAGACCCCGCTGGTTCCTTCAGCCTCGCCCACCTGTGCCATCCGGAGTCCTTAGGACAACTCTGGCCCTTGGAGGACAATTTTCCTAGGATACCCCAGGATGGGAGTGGGGGTGTGGAGCAGTCTGGCCCTCCTCTCTGGGCAAATGTGGCCGGCCGAAAGGTCAGGTCTCCAGCCCATCATCAGCTCCCAGTGGACTCCACCTTAGTGCTAGGGACTGAAGGTTTGAAAGGGGAGGAGACGCCCCTCCAGATCCCACACAGCCGGGTCTTGCTCTGTGTCCCAGGCACAGTCCTTGCCCTTAAGGTCAGCGATGTCTACCATCAGCCAAGATCACGGTGCAATAAGTGCCCATTACCCTTTCCACGGGCTGTGGTGGGCTTTCAATGGCCTTGATTTGGA